ATAAATATATATAAACATATATATATAAATATATATAAACATATATATATAAATATATATAAACATATATATATAAATATATATAAACATATATATATAAATATATATAAACATATATATATAAATATATATAAACATATATATATAAATATATATAAACATACATATATAAATATATATAAACATATATATAAATATATATAAACATATATATATAAATATATATAAACATATATATATAAATATTTATAAACATATATATATAAATATTTACATATATATAAATATATATATATATATTATATATATACTTACATATATGTATATATATATATATAAACATACATATAAATATATGTAAATATATGCATATATCGATCTATCTATCTATCTATAAATACATACAAATAAATATATATATAAATACATACATATAAATATATATAAAAAATATATATAAATGTATATATATAAATATACATATATATAAAATATACATACATATAAATATATATAAAAAGTATATATAAATGTATATATATAAATATACATATATATAAAATATACATACATATAAATATATATAAATATACATATATATATACAAATATACATATATATAAATATATAAATATACATATATATAAAATATACATACATATAAATATATATAAATATACATATATATATACAAATATACATATATATAAATATATAAATATACATATATATAAATATACATATATAAATATAATATATATAAATATACATATATATAAATATACATATATATAAATATACATATATATATATATATATATATATATATATATATATATATATATATATATATATATATATATATATATATATATATATAAATATACATATATATAAATATACATATATATAAATATACATATATAAATATACAGATATAAATATACAGATATAAATATACAGATATATAAATATACATATATAAATATACAGATATAAATATACATATATATAAATATACATATATAAATATACAGATATATAAATATACATATATAAATATACAGATATAAATATACAGATATAAATATACAGATATAAATACAAATATATTTAGCTCAATGCTGCCGGGTGTGACGTGTATGTACGTGCTATGCCCACTATGAGTTACTTGTTTGATTGTTTTTACACAGAGATGGCAACACTTGTACTAACTCCCCAATGAGCCAGTTATGAGTACGGCCTGTCTCGACCGTTTACCCTTTCCTTTGATTATGAAATATTTTACATTATCTTATTTTGCTGTTACTAATGTTAAAAAAAACATTATAATAATTATAATGTTTAAAATAAAAATTACACCATTGATATTCATAGCACTAGGGATAAATACATTTTTCCCACCACTTCAAATCAGGCACTAGCAGAGCCATCTATCGGCAGACATTTCACAAAAATATAGAAAATAGGCACAGCATTTTCCCCTTTTTTTTTTTTCAATTTCAATTTCCCCGGCAGCATTTGGATAAACATACATATATATAAATAAACATATATATAATCTTATATATATATATATACATAAATATATAAACATAAATAAATAAATAAATAAATATATAAATAAATATATATATATATATATATATATATGTACAAATATATAAATATATATATGTATAAATATATATATATGTATAAATATATATATATGTATAAATATATATATATGTATAAATATATATAAATATGTATAAATATATATAATATGTATAAATATATATAATATGTATAAATATACATAAATATGTATAAATATGTATAAATATATATAAATATATTTATATACATATATAAATATATTCATAAACATATATAAATATATTTATAAATATATATATATATAAATCTATAAATATATATATAAATATATTTATAAATATATAAATATATGTATAAATATATGTATAAATATATAAATATATCTATAAATATACATATAAATATATAAATGTATATATAAGTATATACATAAATATATAAATAAATATATATATATAAATATTTATATAAATACATATATATTTATCTATATAAGTATTAACAAATTAATAAATATATAAGTATAAATAAGTATATAATTATAAATATACATATACACATGAAAATATACATATGTACATCAATAAATACAATTTGTAAATATACATAAACACAAGATATAATTATAAATAAATAAAATAAATATATGTAGGTGTGTGTATGTTTATATTGTAATTATACCATTTATATATGTATCCATTACACACACACACACACACACACACACACACACACACACACACACACACACACACACACACACACACACACACACACACACACACACACACACACACCAAAAAAAAAAAAAAAAAAAAAAGTGTACATGTACATAGTCAAATACCAGATGCGTTGCCCCAATACAAAACAGTCAAAGCCACTTGATTCAATAATGACCCTCAGCCACTCCTGGGCATCAAGAGCCATACCCTGATTAACCCCCCCTAACGAGCAGCGATCTTCGAAAGGGCACGAGGCAGTCCCGGCCGGCGCCTCCCTTCACTCACTTTCCCCGCCGGTCGCACTTCCTCCTCGAGTGTTTGCGAATCCAGACCGCACACACGGAAGGAAGTGGGGGAGGAGGGAGGGAGGGAGAAGGGGAGAAGGGGGGGGGAGAATGCAGGGAGAGGGAGAAAAGGGAAGAGGGAGGGGGGGGGGGGGACATGAAGGGCAAAAACACATGTATTTTTGGCGAGTGCCACGCCCTGCCCTGTCACCCTCACAGCCGGGTATCGCGATGTGCGGTACCGGGTAGCTGGGCGAGGAACCGAAAATAAACGGAAACCGTACGAGAAGAGGAGGAAAAAATACGGAATACGAGCTCCGGTGTATGGAGAAAGGTAAGGGTACGGAGGCTACCCAAACGGTAACCTGGGGGGGAGCGTTATCCTGGGTGAGGTAAGAGGGTGGGACAGGCGGGCGGGAGGGGGGAGTAGGGAAGGTAAGAGGGTGGGGGTAGGGGGGGGGTCAAGTGGGGAGGAGAATTCGGTATTTGTGGCACTTACCTCACCCTCCTCCCAATTCCGTGACACCCGTATGGCAACACCCAGTGGATAAACCTCTTTCCCGTTTGATTCGCGAATTCGGAGGCCCTTCTTCCCGCGAGGCCGTTTTAACCTCCCCCTGACTCTGCCTAACCGAGAACCCGAGCTTTCACGCAGATTTTTGCGGTTTGCCGGCGAAAATAAAGAGGCAGAAATCGTCTAGTTACCCTCCTTGACCTACTCCTCCCCCCCCCCTTCCCCCGCTGCCAAGTCTCCGCGCTCTCTCCACTTCGCACCCAAGAAATCGCTTCATTTTCTGATAATTCAAGCGTGACATCCTACATACTGGGACGTAACACTAAGGAAGCGAAAAGAAATGGATAATGCAAGAACGGCATGGCAAAAACGAGAAAGCAAAATACGAGAAAATAGCAAGAGGCAACACAGCGGATGAGGTCATCAGACTCGGCAAACCGCCGTTAAATCCCCTAAATAACACTAATTTCCAAAATAACGAATATTCATGAAATAATATAGTACTAGACACAAAAGCAATTCAATAATCTACTCATCGGAATACGAAATACAGCTGAAATTCGCCTAAAAGGAAAAAAAGAGAGAGATGGGAGGGGCGGACAACCCAACCATCACAACTGCATCCTCCACCAATCCACGTTTTGTGTCACTTTATTCTTCCCAAAGACCATTTTTCTAAGCTTTCCTACCTTCACGCCGTACACAGATACTTCGTTCAACTCTTCGTACAACAACCGAGGTACTAAGCGCACGCCTTACCTTATTTTAACGATATTTCGAGGTCCCGGACGGCGACGGAACCTCTCGCTTCGATCGTCTGACGGCTCGTTGAGGAGGCTGCTTCAACGACGCAACGACTGTCCGGCCGTTTCGGGGAGAGCTTGGTTGTTTTTGACAAGAGGGAAGCGAGTTTAGAGTTTATGGTAGCATTTTTATATTAATTTATATCTTCTTTTATGAAATAAATGTGTAATGTGTGTAAACACAAAAAAATAATTCAAGAAAATGTTATAATAGTGGTAATTTTGAGGGTGGAAAATCAGTAAGTAGAACAGCCACTTGAGTTTTCTGTGATGCCGCGAGAGGGGAGACTAAGGTAATGGGATAATATCTTTTGAAATAGAAAATTGTCTAATATCAGTGTCGTATATGACTTCCGAAAAGCTGCACTGCAGTGTATATTAAGTGTTATTCTTAATTGTATCGTTATAAATCAACGACAACTGAATTCGAACTTGAACCAATAACAATATGCTCAAGATTTTAATCCACTGCCTTAGAAACTGTATTGAAATTATGATAATACTAAAATAAACAAAATAAAAATGATAATAATACTAAAATAAAATAGATATTAATGATATATCTTACAGTCAATAATGATATATTGTTAAAATATTCTGCCATCCACTAACGACCGAAACATGCGCCCAAACATAAGATCGCATAAATATGATGTGATAAACAAAACACCTGTCGAAGGAAAATCAATTCTGATGTACTATCTGGCTTTCCCAACCAATGCAAAATATACAGGTAACCCTAACACGCAAAATGGACAGTCAGGTAGACATTTTCCCAGGCACCGGATGTTGTGCAGACTTCTAGAAGGGCGGGTCCGCACCAGGCGTGACTCACCCCTCCTTCCCCTCCTTCCCCTCCTCCACTCCCTCCCTCCTTCCCCTTCTCCCACCTCCCCACCTCCACTCCCTCCTACACTTCCTTGCCACCTCCCTTCCTCCCTCTCCCCCTCCCCCACCCCCGCCCGTTAGCCTCTCATCCTCTTTACTCTTCCTTCGGTCTTTCTCTCTTCCCTCTTCTTTTTCATCTTTGCCTTCTGATCTCTTTTGCTTTTTGTTTCCTTCGCCTGTCTTCGGTTTTTCTTTCTCTCTCTTATTTTTCTCTTCTCTTTCCTAACTTTTTTCTTATCTTCTGCTCTTCTCCCTTCCGTCTCCCTTTTTCCGTCACTATCCTCTTTTCTCCTCCCCTTTACCTCCTCTGATCTTATCCTTCCCCTTCTCCCATCCCTTTTATTCTCCTACTGTCTTTCCATCTTCCATCCACCTCCCAAGCCCCCCCCCCTCTCATACCCCCCCCCCTCCTGCCCGCATGTCCTGATGATGTCTGCCTTTCGTGGGAGGGAAAGTGATGTCAGACGTGACCTCAATTTCAAAGGAATGTTAGTTTTTGGTTGGGTATGACATGTATTTCGGTTACGTGATATTTTATATTTGTTTCTGGTTTTCTAATTACGATGAGCATTTATCTGTATTTCAGTTTTTCATTTAAGAGAGGGAGAGAGAGAGAAAGAGAGAGAGAGAGAGGGGGGGGGGGCAGAGTGAGTGAGTAAGAGAGAGAGAGAGAGAGAGGGAGAGAGACAGAGACAGAGAGACAGAGAGAACCTCGATCACACACACCTCACGTATGGTAGTCACAACGGGCTACCATAGTTAAGCATATTCTCTCCCATTATTTTTGGTGAAATTATAAACTACTATTAAGCCTTAAAATACTAATAATGGCCAAGGTAACAGGTAAGAATTCAAAGTAATTCTACCTCCAACACTTATCTTTCTATCTTATCTCTTACCGATGTTACCGTTGCTATAATCACTGATAAGAGATGGCGGATGGCAGCGTGGGCGATATCAGTCAGATAAGGCTAATCAGCATGGAATGGAATGCTTTAAACAAAAAGTCTGTTTATTCATCCGTCGCTGATAAAACCTGATCTCCACAAAGATTATTCTTGCATACCAACAAACTTAAAAAGAATGATGCAGGGTCGAGAAATGTGCAATATCCTTTGCAATAATGCTAGTGATCTCATTCAACATGATGCTGATAGCAAATGCAGCGAATGGTGATCTGGTGATAAAAAACAATAACATTATTAGTAGTAAAGAGATTTTTATTGTCTTTATTATTAACATTAATTGTAATGATAATAATGACAACATTAATGATAATCATAATGATATGAACATACGAAATAAAAAATGGTAAGGTAAGTACAACAAAAACAATAATAATAATAACAAAAATAACAGCAAAACAACAACCATAATAATGCTGATAATAATGATAATAGCATCGATGATAATTATACTAACACTACTACTAACAATAATCATCATAATCACCACAGTCATTACATTAATACTGGCAGTAACAATAATAACATTGACAATGATATAATGATAGCTGCCTAACAATTAAAATTATAAATGCATTACAACAAAATACAAATCCAACGACATCAACAAGAATAATCAAAATATCACTTATGGTACCGACGATAACAATGATGATAGTAATAACAATAATGATGATAGTAATAACAATAATGATGATAGTAATAACAATAATGATGATAGTAATAACAATAATGATGATAGTAATAACAATAATGATGATAGTAATAACAATAATGATGATAGTAATAACTATAATGATGATAGTAATAACTATAATGATGATAGTAATAACAATAATGATGATAGTAATAACAATAATGATGATAGTAATAACAATAATAATGATAGTAGTAACAATAATGATGATAGTAATAACAATAATGATGATAGTAATAACAATAATGATGATAGTAATAACAATAATGATGATAGTAATAACAATAATGATGATAGTAATAACAATAATGATGATAATGATGATATTGATAATAATAATGATGATAATGATAATAATAATGATGATAGTAATAACAATAATGATAATAATGATGATAATAATAATGATGATAATAATGATAATGATGATAATAATGATAATAATGATAATGATGATAATGATGATAATGATGATAATGATGATAATGATGATAATGATGATAATGATGATAATGATGATGATAATGATGATAATGATGATAATGATGATAATGATGATAATGATGATAATAATGATAATGATGATAATAATGATAATGATGATAATGATAATGATGATAATAATGATAATGATGATAATGATAACTAGAAAAGCACTCAGAGAGTGCAGACCTCTGCCAAGGTGCGTATATAATATATATACTTTGGTTGAGGATGAAAAGAATCAGACAGCTCGGAGTTTCTTCAAAAAAGAAAAAAAGGCTCTCATACACAATTAAAAGGCAACAGTTTGCTTTTAGTTAAGAACATCATAATTATCGCTCGGATGTACTTGCACCGCTACTGCATCCACAGTGACACCCGGGACACGGCCAAGTCCAAAAATATCATGATTATTTTTCGGATGTACTTACACCGGAATGTCACCAAAATTTAATCAGTTCTAAGTTAGTCCCTTTCTGACATGTCCCCAAAATTTCGATGAAATCCGGTCAGTACTTTTTGAGCTACGCTGCTAACAAACA